TATATATATAAATGAATGAATGAATGAGGGGCGATCTGTTTACTATATGAGTAAATCTACCCAAACTTATTTCATTTAATAACTCATGTTTTATATCAAATTTCAACTATTCAATCATTAAATTTAAAGTCTTTAGTGTATAGATCAAATTTGTAATTTTTTAATAAATTAAAAAATTATTTGATACTTTGTTTCATTAATTCAAATTGATGGATAATCATAAAAACGTTTTATACGTTGATTTGAATTAATGAAATAAAATTTGAAACAATTTTCAAATCTTTTAAAAAATTGTAACCTTAATCTATGCATTATGAACTATTAAATTAATAATTAGATTGTTAAAATTTAATATATAATAATTTATTAAATAAAGTAAGTCTATCAAGACTTATTTTTACAGTAAGTGAATCCTTTCGATATATATATATATATTCTTGTTGAGCACCGGGGATACCACACACATACACATGTCTCCACATTAGTAAGATAATATCTGCTTTGGACCCAACCCTCATGGTTTTACTTTTGGATACCACCCAAAAGGCCTTTCTGCCAATGAAGATAATTGTGTGTATATAAACTCATGTCCATCCTCTTATATAAATGATATGAGACTTTGCTTACGTCCCAACATATATAAAGCAATATATACCTATTAAAAAAGTGTGCTAGGGGAACGAGGAGTAATCATTTTTGTGGTCACATACCGAGATGAACTTAGGTTTTTATTTGTTATTTGATCATTCAGATTGACTTAGTTTTGACATATTTTGCCATTGACTTAGCTTTGGAAACGAGGGCATTGATTGCGAGTTCAATCTACATTGCCCAAATAATGCTCTCGCAGCAACTTAATATTACTATTTATTTAATTTATACTTATATATACAAATATTTTTTATTTTTATGTTCATAATTTTTTAAATGCTTTATCTTTAAGTTTTAAATAGTAAAAAATAATATTAAAAATTAACTTAGAATCCAAGATTTTAAAATTCAAAAATTAAGTATAACATCGGTTAAGTAAATAAATATTAATAATTTTTAAATATCTTTAAGTAAATATAGATACATATAGTATTTTGACTTCACTCTGTTATGTGACGAAATTCAAAATTTTCATCTGTTCTACTTCTACATGCATTGGGTCTCCAGTATATGTGGGTTATTCAAGGAATAGACACATTGTTGCTTTATGTTAAGGAAAATATTTCCGCACAATCGCACATAATGCAAATATTTGTCCATTTTTGTAACAAAGTAAACAATAGGCCTCGACAGAAAACAAGGCAGTGTAAATACGAAAAACTAACCAATGAGACTCATTGATTTCTTTATATTGCGAACCCTTGTCTTATATAGCATCATCTGAACAAAAGTATATCATTGCGCAATATTACAATTCCTCTCAAATGTTGAAATTTTAAGCTGCGAAATATATCAAAGCTCAACATATACGGACGATATAATAATCTCACAGCTACATAATATCAAACTTACACATGCACGAGCATTGCATTTGTATTTTAATGAAGTCAAGAGTTAAAGTCTAACTCCACTCAATAGAATCTAATATACACAATCATGGTTACGCTTGGAAACCAATTTGCAACAATGCAAACGGAAAAACACAATTTCCAAAGCACTAAACCAAGTTTCTAACGGAAAATCCAACACACTTAATCTACATGATGACTCATAAATCAATGGTCAAACCCCTAGCTCCATTAACATAAGGTGATGCTGCAGCTTTATCGACTCTTAAAGATCCATGCCTTGTAGGGTCATATTTTTCGCCATCACCCCAGAGGGCATAAGCTTCTTCGCCGTGGACGGCGTCGTCACCGATCTCGAGCTGCTCGTCGGGCATCCTCAAGGGTATGAAGAGCTGTATGGCCAGAAGAATGAGTGTGGTGGAGACCAAGTTCCATCCAGCAATGAAAAGTGCTCCCACTATTTGCTTCAAAAACTGAACACCACCATCACCACCATAGAAGGCACCCCTTGAGTTGGTCACAGGCAATAAGAGTTTACAAAGCTGAGGTTCTGCTAAGAGACCAGTGAGGAGACCACCCAAAAGACCAGCCACAGCATGTGTGTGAAACACTCCTAGGGTGTCATCTACCTGTGTATTAATTGTACAAGAAGAAAAAAATGTTAGCGTGTGTTCTAAAAAGAATTGGCTAAATTGATTTGGGTCGTTTGGTCTTTCACATTCCAAGTTATACTCAACGGGTAGATTCACACACGCATACATGTAACAAAATAGTTGTACTGAAATCTACGTGCAATTTTTGGATTTTTGGAGTCTTTCCAATGGCTGTGATTGTATCAGAAAAATATTAAATCAGTCGCATTACCTGAAATCTTTTTAGCAATTAAGCATTTTAAAAAAAATAATTACTGACCGCTTAGTTATGAAATGATTATCTACGAAGGAACATGAAAGATATGAAATGTTGAATGCCAAATCCATGGAACAATATATTTCATGAGTAACTAATCTCGTCAATAAGATGAGAGCATATGGAGAAAATATTTTTGATAGTAAAATGGTGGAGAAAATTTTTCGAATAATGTCAATGAAGTTTGATCATGTGGTGACTACAATAATTGAGTCGCACAACACACAAGCCATGACTATGTAAGAGTTATAGGGAAGCATCGAAAGTCACGTGAGCAAAATCTTAGAGAAGACCGAAAAAGCAAATGAAGAAACTTTAAAAAGTTAGATGAATCTCAACAATGTAGTCGAAACCGGTCAAAGTGTAGAAAGTAAAGGTCGCGATAATTACAATAATGAAGAAAGAGGAAGTTAGAGAGGAAGAATTCAAGGAAACAATAGAGGTAAAGGAAGTGGATATTTCAATCAAGGACGAGATAATAATTTTGTATCATTCAACTGAAGAAGACCAGGAAATAATTTTGTCTCTTCCAACCATGGAAGAGGATGAAGTAATAATTATCAACAAAGACCAAATTTTAATTGCTTTTATTGTGAAAAGTTTGGATACAAAGTTAACCATTGTAGATTTAAACAAGCAAACATGATAGAAAATCATCAAAATATTGGTGAAAATTGTTACAATCTACAAATTTTATTTTTGGCAAACAATACATTTTCTAAGGATGAAAAAATTTGGTATCTGGATACTGGATGTAACAATCATATGTGTGGAAAAAGAAATTATTTTCATCTTTAGATGAAATAGTATAATTTATCGTGAAATTTGAAAACAACATAAACATTCTTATTTTTGGGAAAGACTAAATTGCTATCAGATCGAAAGATGATTTGCAAAATTTCATCTATAATGTTTTTTATGCTTTTGATCTTCATCACAATTTATTGAGAATAAGACAACTATCAGAGAAAGGTTATAACATGCAAATTCATCATGTATACTACATATTGATATACATAAGTGAAAGATTTATAGTTAAGGTAAAAATGATTCTCAATGGCCTATTCCTTTAAAAATTTGTCATGGAAAGTTTTGTTGCTTAAATTCTGTTATTCCGAATGATGATTATGGCATATGCACTTTGGACAAAAAAATTATTAGAGATGGTTGATTAAGATTTGTGCACATTTGAGAATTAAATGTTATCTAATCTATATGCCAATCTGATGGAAACCATTCAATTAGGATGTTTGAAGATTTTTTTGTTCAAGATGAAGAATTATTATACAACTAACACTGAAAACCCCGAATTCCAATCCTTTTGAATCTCAAGTCTCCTTTTGAAACAGAAATCACAAGAAACGAGAATTAATTCGTGAATCCAACCTATCTGGTTCTTACCTCTTGCTGGGGAAAGAAGTGTTGATAAACAGATTACATGTGAAAGTGTCCATTTCCTAACTAACTTTCTAATTTTATTGAATGAGAATTAATGAAACAAGCGAAGCAATAAAGCGACCTATACCTAAACATGTACAGGGATATTATTGAATGATCGAATTAATGATCCAGAGCATCAGCAAAAGCGACCCAGATCTAAACTTATATAGAAATATTGCAAGTTTCTAAGCACACTTTTTAGATAAAATTTACGCCAGTCAAATATTCATTAAATAAAGTTGACGTAGAGGTGAAAAAGAGTTTTGTACTAAAGAGTTATTAGAAGAATAATTGTAAACATCTACCGAGTTTAATTAGAGAGAGGAGTGAGATAGAGAGAAAATGAAAAAAGTAAAAATAAATAAGAAAAAATTGGGATGAGAGTGAGTCGTTAGAAATAAAATAATTATTTTTATTATAATCATATATTTATTTTTTCCTTCAATTTCATCATATATTATTATTTTTTTCTTTCTAATTATATGATTTATCATGTCTATTAAGGAAAGAAGAAAACTCAAGAAAATTTCATAAGTTTAATTAATGTTATTCTGTGATCAGAATTAAAGTTTTACTTTCTAATTATATGATTTATCATGTCTATTAAGGAAAGAAGAAAACTCAAGAAAATTTCATAAGTTTAATTAATATTATTCTGTGATTAGAATTAAAGTTTTATTTTAATAATATACTTAAATATATATTATTAAAGTCAATAATAAATATAAACATATATTATTAGGAAAAAAACCTTTAATTTTAATTAAAAAAATTGTCAACCGTACATAAAGAGTGCATTAAAGTTTTATCCGAAAAGAAAATGGTACCTTCTGTAGAAGGCTTGACTTCTTGTGAAGGATCATCATGGTGACCCATGGAATGCTACCTGATAGTACTCCCATCACTATAGCCGCCCAAGATTGCACAAGCCCTGCAAGTTAATTAATTTCATCCCACCCTAGAATTAATGTATAGTCCATGTATATATCATTGAATGGTTGATTTAGATTTTAGAGTATTGTTGTGAAGTGTGCATAATAATATATATACCTGCTCCTGGGGTGATGCAAACGAGGCCAGTCATCATGCCCTGAACAGCTCCAACGACAGAAGGCTTGGAGAAGAAGATGACATCGAGAGAGGTCCAGACAAGGAGGCTAGTGGCGGCACAAATGTTAGTGTTGAGCACTGCGATCGAAGAGTCTATGTTCGCTGCATACGGTGCTCCTCCGTTGAACCCTGACCACCCCATCCACAGCAACCCCGCACCCGCTAGCATTAGCAGCACGTTGTTCGGTGGGAACCTCTCCCTGTCACTCTTCAACCTTGGCCCAACCTAATCAAATTCATTTGATCCTCACGCGTCATGCACACAGAATTGTCAAACCAAATCGACAATGTGGAAAATAAAATCTATCCACAGTGACAAAAAAATTCCATTGGATAAATGATAACAGCGAAGAAAGGTAGGTAGGTAGGTAGGTAGTGAAGTGATGTACCCAGTAAGCAGCGGTGAAACCAGCAACACCAGATGAAAGATGAATAACGTAACCACCAGAGTAATCAATGACACCCCAATGGTAGAGAAAGCCACCACCCCAAAGACTAAAGGCCCCAACAGTGTACGAAAAAACAAGCCAAAGCGGCACAAACGCCATCCACGCCTTGATGTTCATTCTCCCAAGAACCGACCCCGCCAACAGAATCATCGTAATAGCAGCGAAAGTAAACTGAAAGTACACAAGCGAAGCCATCGCGAACAAGGGCTCCGAAGTTGGGCTTTCCAGGGTCCCATTCTTGTGGAAGTGCGTGCTTTCGGGCACCCGGGCCTGGTTTATGAGAAACTTCTGGCCCAGTGCGGGCGCACCCTTGCCCCAGAACGGGAGGAGCTCGTCGCCGAAGGCCATGCGGTAACACAGCAGGACCCAGCATATGAGCACTGCGGCGAAGGCGTACAGGGCCATGAAGGCCGAGTTCACGGCCCATTTCTTCTTTACTATGCTCGCGTACAGGATCACCAGGCCCGGCATGCTCTGCAGGCCCACCAGAGTCGCCGCTGTTAGCTGCCACGCGTTGTCGCCTTTGTTCAGCCACTCCGGTGATGCTGGAAGGTGTTCTTGGTACGCTGTGCCACTCGCCATGCCTCCCACTCCCACCACAATTTCTGAATCCGACCAAACTTATTCTCGACTTCTACTCACGACTGTGTCTTCAATTTGTGTAACTCGACTTTAATTGTTGCTAAAACTTAAACTAGATTCGGATTCTTTAAGGAAGTTGTAGAAAAAATAAATAAAAATAACACGATGGTGAGATAAATTTCACTGAAAATAGCAGACAGATATTTTGTTGATGAATAACGTGAGTGAAAAATAGGATGGAAGGGAAATTTGTGAATCTTTATTTTGTATCTTTTTTGCTTTAGTGGGTGGTTGGTTTACTACTTGTATGGCTTTGTCTTCAATAAGAGTTGACAATTGTGAATACGACATGATGCTATTTTCACAGATGTATTTATATCTCTTGATTACGTGGTTAGCTTTAGATTTCTATCTTTATGTATATGAGACAACATCTATTAAAGGACATAATTCTATAAATGAATTTTAACATTATAAAGGATTAGTCAGTAATTTCAAGATGAGGAAAGAATGCGCTGGATTAAAAAAAAAATGGAAATTGATTAAGATACGCTGAGTTGAATCTTTTGAAACTTCGTGTGAACTGCCATTGTATTTTCACAAGTTGGAATAATTATTAATGAAACCGAGGTTGCGTAGTAAAATTTTGAATTTTGGCAGAAAGTGATGTTATGCTCCATTTGTTGAAAAGTTTAAAATAAAATAAAAATTGATGGACATGGTTGAAGAAAAATAGTGTGCTGACTCCCTATGGCGGGTCTAAGATTAAGGTGGAATTGTAAAATATTTTTATTATATATATAGAGAGATATTAGATTATATTATATATCAGCTCAGCCAAGACACTGGATATTATATGATAGTCTGACCCACACTTATTTCTTGGTTTCTTCCGTACAAAGAGTTAGATCAAAATGAATTTATATCTGTACTTCTGTTATGCATAGTTTATTATTATATATTTGTACTTATCTCGTTGCATCAGGACAATTGGCCATTTGAGTTTTTTTTTTTCAACTTCAGGGTTAATTTTATAAATGTAAATGTATAAATTCAGTCGATAGTTGGTATACCGAACTTTGCAAATGATTGCATAAAATTCTACCCACAGCATGTTTGTTTAATTAAGCTAGCAAATGATCTATTAATTGTTCGAAAGTTTCTTTTTTATTAGGTGAGTAATATGATATCAAAAGTAAAATTTTCATGTTCCGGGTGAAACAATTTATTCCATATTTGGTTACAAAGAAAGAAATAAGTGAAAAGTAATATTTTCATGTTTGGGGTGAGAAAATTTATGCAGTATTTCATTTTAAAAAAATGAGTAAAAAATTGAATGAAGAAAAAGAAAATAGTAACATCCATAGGAGTGAATTAGGTGACAATTGCTCACAACCAAAAATTGGAGAACAGATTAACAGAACTCATTTCACTTATTAGATAGCTCAACAAGTCAACGTAACAAAACATTGTCCACCACCATCTAGGCAATGTGTGTAGCTTTCGAGAACATCCTATTGATGAATGTCTTACTCTTACCTTAGAAGAACATTCTTACCAAGGTGGTGATATTGCTAGAATATTCACTACTCAGCAATATGATCTCCACAATAATAAAAAAATTATGGTCCATATTTTGAGATATAATTAATCTTGGATGCAAAGACCATCATATATAACCTGAAACGGGTCCTGTACAGGATAATATGCAGCAGCAGATGTAGTTCCTAATAGCTTCATGCAATAAATGTTAGAAAATATTGTTAAAAAAAATAACGAATGAGAATATTGTGCTGTAGTACTAATCCATGTCTTGAAAACAAATTTTGGTAGATCTTTAGTATAGTCTAAAATATGATTTATTTTTTAAGGTTTATATAGTATCGTGTCTAAACACATATTTGAGATCAAAACATGTTAAAGTCTCATGAATAATGCTCATAATAACAAAGTAGGAAAATATAGACAAATAGAAATAGTTATTTATCTCCTAAGACTCGCTCTATCACTTCTTATATAGTGTATGAATAATCAGTTTGTTGGTAAATACATCAGAAAAACTTTAATACTAATTGTAAGAAATTAAAGTAATTAATATATCAATGGTAACATAGCAATTAATTATTTCCATAATCTCTTATTAATGGTAGAAAAGTGAAAGAGAGGACGAAAAACAAGATTAGTTCCTAATAGCTTCATGTAATAAATAATAGAAAATATTGTTAAAAAAATAATGAAAGAGGATATTGTGTTGTAGTACTAATCAATGTCTTGAAAACAAATTTGTAGATATCTAATATAGTCTTACTAAGGCAAGTTGGCTCAACACTTTTCTAGGCTTAAAGCAAACATTTTAGATGTTGACTTTTTTAAATTAATAAAAATATATTAAAATATTATAATTTTATTTAGAGAATGGTTGCCAAATAAAAAAAAAAACTGAGTTCAATTGGTACTGGATTAATAGAGTTTAGAGAGTAAGACACAAAGAGTCAGAGAGAACAAATTAGGAATAGCTGTAATAGAAGGAGAAAAGTCATACAGAGAAATAATAGCCGATGGGATGGAACAAATCACAATTAATTGGAGAAAGAATCGGTTACATAATTATTATTTATGTAAAATATATTTAATATTTTTTAGGAGAGAGAAAATCGTGATAAAATGAGATTTTTTTAATTTCCAAAAAAATTATTCAGTTATTGTTAATAATGTAATATTTTTTATTTTTTATTTTTATAAATATTAGTAATAAATATTTTTTAGGGGCCTATAAATGAGATTTTTTTTTGTCTAAAGCGAGTGCTTTAGTAACTTGTGGGTTGAGCCAGCCCTGTCCCAAGGTTTATACAATATCGTGTCTAAGCTCATGCGTTTGAGATTAAAACATGTTAAAGTCTCACAAACAATGCTAAGAATAACAAAGTATAGGAAAATATAAACAAATAGAAATAGTTATTCATCTCCTAAGACTCGCTCTTTCACTTCTTATATAGTGTACAAATAATAAGTTTGTTGGCAAATACTTAAGAAAAACTTTTAATACCAATTGTAAGAAAAGTAATTAATATATCAATAACATAACAATTAATTATTTTCATAATCTCTTACTAATGGTTGATAAGTGAAAGAGAGGACGCAAAACAAAATTATTGGAAAAGGAAAGTTTCTTGTACTTAAGTGTTAATGATCAAACACTAAATTAACATATTGTGTAGTGAGGTTACTTCTTAAGTCCAAAAAGTAAATTACTCTTAAACTTAATGAATTTAAGATGAGACCCTTACAACACATTTTTACCTTTAAAATCGTGATAGCTTTGTGATTAAAATTTTACACAATTTATCACTTTGTATGTATTAGCACATTAGGTTGTTCATAGGTGCTTTAGAATGAAAACCAAAGTCTTTCATAAAAGGTGAGTTATGCCTAAAAACTCATGTCAATAGATATAACAAGAGCGTCTCTATAACACCATGCATATCAAGGGTTATGTATCTATCAAGAATTCATGGCTCGACCTCATATCAACCATTGCCACATGCCACAAAGACGAGAAATCTAGTGTATAGGAGTACACATATGGTTTCGTTTGACAACTAATTGGATGTGCACCATACTTTCCTTCATATATTCATGGCTTTAAGTTCATCCTCTCGATATATCTAAGACAATTTTCCTAAGTAACGATTTTGTGAAAGGATTTGTGTGACACCCTCTACCCCACATTACCATAACACAAATAATAAAAAATTGAATAACTATTATCATAGAGCTTAAATGATGGTGATGAGTTATTGCATGCATGATGCAGTCATGCTCAATGGAGTCATGCTCAATTGTGGATATTTTCTTTCTCTCTCGTGTAACAAACTAGATTCTATTTTTCCTTTTCTGTTTCTAGTGCTGCACGTTTTTCATTCCTCTACTTTGTCGCCTTCTGCTTCATACGTTGGCTATATAGACCCTTTCGTTTTATATCATTTTAAAGAGTGAATAACATACAGATTATTCCCTTCCTTCTATGGTCAGAGAAAAGCTGCAAGCTGGACTCATGCATCTTCTTCCCATACCTTCCAAAGCTCAGCTGGCTGATTTTTTCACTAAGGCCTTGTTTCCAAAGCTTTTCCATGACTTCCTAACCAAGCTTGGTGTGCTTGATATTTTTCGCCCACCAGCTTGAGAGGGGGTATTATCATAGAGCTTAAATGATGGTGATGAGTTATTGCATGCATGATGCAGTCATGCTCAATGGAGTCATGCTCAATTGTGGATATTTTCTTTCTCACTCGTGTAACAAACTAGATTCTATTTTTCCTTTTCTGTTTCTAGTGCTGCACGTTTTTCATTCCTCTACTTTGTCGCCTTCTGCTTCATATGTTGGCTATATAGACCCTTTCGTTTTGTATCATTTTAAAGAGTGAATAACATACAGATTATTCCCTTCCTTCTATGGTGCATTTACTGTTAATAACATAATTTTTTTCAAAATTGAAATACCAAACATGTTTAAATAGAGGGTCAGCCCAAGTCTTATTTGGGATTGAAGTAAGACTTTGGTTTTGAAGACCCATGAGGGTTGAGATTGAAATTGGTATGGCATAATCAAGCTTGGTTTGTTTTTGTGGTTGATTAGTTTGCTGAGTAGATGACTCGGCAATTTAATTTGGCTAAGTCAGTGACTCTAAAAGCTTGAGAACTGGTTGATTGGTATGTTGAGTAGATGACTCGGAAACTTGGTTTTGTTGAGTCAGTGACTCTAGAAGTTTGAGAACCGGAGATGATGGTTCCATAGGTTGTTCCTTCCTGGGAGAAGTCGCCTGTTTTCCTCTACCTCGACCTCTGGCTGAGGCCAAAATTGCCTTTTTAGGCATTTGTTGTACTCTGTAAATATTCACGAGTTAGATAGTCAGGTAGAGAGTTAGAAGTGCCTTTGAGATACTCAATGTCAAAATCAAAAACATTTAAAATTGCTTGCCATCTGGCAAAAATTTTTTTTG